CGGATGCTGTAAATCAGGAACAAAAACAAAGGTGCTGGAAAAGTTCAGCAGGTCTGGCACCATCTGTGGAGGAGAAAACAGTTAACATTTCGGGTCTGGGTTCTGAGGAAAGGTCACCGGACCCGAAACGTTAACTCTGTTTTCTCCTTCACAGAGGCTGCCAGACCTGCTGAGATTTTCCAGCAACTTTGTTTTTGTTCTAACCTTTTTCACTGTCCACTATACCACCAATTTTGATGCCATCTACAAACTTACAAACCATGCTTCCTCTGGTAATCTCAGATGATACGGGAATTGAACCTACAGTATCACAATCAATCTGTATTGCAAACTAGCCCTTGACTGACTGCAGCAATACTTCGTGAGTGATCTTTTGTGTCCCTTTAGACTATTAAGGGCTAGTGCCCTTTGACTTCTGCACATGGCCATTTGGATGATGCATATGTTTGCCCTGTAAGCATTCTGTAGGAGTGATGTTGATGTTGCAAAATGCTGTTTTGTTCAGTGCTCTGAACTGGGATAAGCTTCCACCTCCCACTATTTGCTTTAAAAAAAAGCACTGCAACCCACACAATGTGTCAGCCTTCAAATAAGCATAAAGTGAGTAGATACTAAGAAATGATGCGAAGAGCCACATCCTGTGCAGATGCATGAAATGTAAGAACATACAATCTAGAAATATGTGCATGTCTCTGTGTGTAAAACCACCTGACAGAAGGGTGGCAGGCCATGGATGTCCCTGAGCTCGTAAAAGGATGCCCTAAAGTGCTGAAGTGATGTATCAGTTGGTCCAAAAGCAGACATGGTGAAGTGGTGAGGCTGGTGGTTTGCTGTTGGTGACTTGCTTGGAGGAAGGCATTGTCCATGGAGCAGGTGACAGAGACAGAGTTGGATGAAGGCTCGGAGAAGCAATTGGTGAGCTGGTAATTGCTCTGACTTTCATTTTGGGAACTAGTTTCTCACGGAAAGAGAGAAGAATTAGAAGCTGCATAGAACTGAAGTGAAGTGGGGTATTAATGAGATGTAAGTGTACGGAAATAAAGTAAACAACAGTCATTAGTGAGATTTTGAACTTGCCACTTTAAATCTTAAGGGGTGATTCAGAATTTTATTTCTTGATATCAGTCATCTGATTTCTTTTCCGTTTTTGACATATTTTCCCACATTCCTCCCCATCTCTTATGCTACTCGAGGTAGTGAAAAATTTGCCCATTGTTTTCCTTCCTATGGCCTCATCTATTGCTTTAATAAGCTCCATAATCACATGATCCTGAACATCAACTCCCTTTTACTGGTGCATATTAATTTCCAATCATCATTATCTTCAGTAGTCCCTTGCAGACGAGGATAACTCTCTTCCACGCTCAGGGTGAGTCTATAGGTGGCTATATAGGTCAAGATGGCTACCTCAGGCTATGTTACACTTGGGGCAGAAGGTGGTTATTGGTACGGATAGGCGGGGCATTGGTGTGGAAACATGCTCCTCACGCTATTTTCGCCTGGCTTCTGCTTTTTCCCGGTGGCATGTCTCGAGGTGTTTGACGCCTCCTGGATGCTCCTCTTCCACTTTGGATGGTCTTGGGCCAGTGATTCCCGGGTGTCTGTGGGAATGCTGTACTTCGCCGGTGAGGCATTGAGAGTATCCTTGAAGCGTTTCTGCTGTCGATCTGGGGCTCGCCTGCTGTTTCAGAGCTGGGAGTAGAGCACCTGTTTGGGCAGTCCTGTATCGTTCATACAAATGACATACCCAGCCCATTGTAGCCAATCAAAAGTGGCCAGTGCTTCAATGCTGGGGATGTTAGCCTGGTCGAGGCCAGTATGGTGCATCTTTCTTCCCAACAGATTCGCAGAATCTTGTGTATAAATATCTGAAGAGTGTACTGCTTTGGGTTTTACTTCATTAACTGTCACCTCTTCCATTTTTGCTGGTCTATCTACCACCCCTACAAACTCCAAAACTGTGAGAAAAAAGGGTCCATAGTCAGGAAATAAAATGTCTTTACACAGCATGTAAACACACACAGTTTAAAGAGTATGAGCCAAATGGAACAGAAACTGCAGGAACGTCTGATAAAAGGACTGGGGTTTCTCCAGCGGATTATAATGCGTGTAAGATAATTACATAAACGTACACCCTGTTTATCAATCTCAGTCACTTACAGCAATGTAGCTCCAGTCATGAGTGACATCCTATCATGTTTAGTAGTCAAATTACACAGCCATTTATCATCCCATGGGGGTACGTTCTGAGTCAGAAGGTGATGGGTTCAATATCAGACTGCAAGTATTGAAGAAATGTTACTCAGTTGAAGGTGTCACCTTCCAGATGAAATGTCAAATATGCTTGATTAGGTGAGTGTATAAAAACAAATGGCACTATTTTGAAGAAAAGCAAGGGATTTATCCCTGGTGTCACAACCAGTATTTATCCCTCAATTAACATCACAAAAACAAATTATTTGTTGATTATCAAATTGCTGTTTATTTGAGTTTTCAGTGTGAAAATTAGCTTCATTATTACAGTGACTATACTTTGGATGAATTTCATTGGTGTTGAAGTGCTTTGGAATGTCCTGTGGGTATGGAATGTGCATAGGAACACCATCAGATGCATTTTCCCTCCCAAACTACACCACATCATGGCTTGGAACTCTCTTCACCATTGGAACCTGAAACTTCCAGGAAGTTAGCATCTAAGTTCAGTGGGTAATTGGGAGGGAAAATTGGATGTTGGCCTTTATTTCAAAGGAAATGGAATACAAAAATAAGGAGGTTTTGCTGAAACTGTACAGAACACCAGTCAGAACACAGATGGAATATTGTGAAATGTGTTGGGTCCCTTATCTAAGGAAATTTAACTCCACTGGCATTGAAGGCTATCCAAACAAGGTGGATGGCCTTATGAGGAAAGGTTGAGTAGACTGAGCCTTGCATTATAAAAGAATGAACGGCTACCTTCTTGAAACAAGCAAGATTTTTAAGAGGACTTGAAAGAGGAGATGTTATTTCCCCTGTGGGAGAATCTAGGACCAGAGGGCATAATCTTACAATAGCAGGTCACACATTTAAAACCGAGATGAGGAGGAATTTTTCACAGAGGGTTGTGAATCTACAAATTGTTTACCTCAGAGGCTGAGTAGTCATTAAGTATATTCAAGAGTGAGATAGACAGATTTTTAATTAGTGAGGGAATGGGGAAAATGTTATTGGGAAAAAGGCAGGAATGTGGAGTTGAAGATTATCAGATCAGCCATGATCTCATTGAATGGTGGGGAAGACTCGATGGCCTATTTCTGCTTCTCTGTCTTATGATATTTTGGTTCTTCCCTAACAGTACTGTGGTAGTTCCACTCCACATGGACTGCAGTGGTCTAAGAAGGTGGTTTACCAAAACCTTCTCCAAGGCAGTTAGGAATTGCAACAAATGCTGACATTGCCAGCCATGCCCACATCCCATAAGAGAATAAGTAGAACAAAAAAATGTTAGCCTTTCTTCAATTTCCATGCTGGCTGTGAAAGAGTGTTAACTATGGGTAATGTAATCGCTTGCTGGTCATACTCTGTGTCTTTTATCTTTGAATTTGAAGCTGCGTGAATGCATTGCCGTAATTCTAAACTCCAACTATTTAAAGCAACAAAAGACAAATTGGAAAAAGATGCATTTTGACAGGCCTGCTTCCATTTTCAGGTCCAGCTGCAATCCTCCTTGGATTCCATGGAGGACAGAAAGAAAAATAAAAGTGAATTGAAGCGTCAGCAGAAAGAGAAGATTTCAGAACTGGATGTAAGCCCAATCAGTCTAATGTTTGAACACCAGATAGAAATAAAAACTGGTTTGCAGTGTTAAAGCGCGGGATTGTGTTGGCTGGGGTCTTTCCTTCGTCCTCCCTGGACCGACCTATCCCCTCCCCAACTCCTCACCTACACTCACCTTTACTGGCTCCATCCCCGCCTCTTTGACCTGTCTGTCTCCTCTCCACCTATCTTCTCCTCTATCCATCTTCTATCCGCCTCCTCCCTCTCCCTATTTATTTCAGAACCTCCTTTCCTTCTCCCATTTCTGAAGAAGGGTCTAGACCCGAAACGTCAGCTTTCCTGCACCTCTGATGCTGTTGGCCTGCTGTGTTCATCCAGCTCTACACCTTGTTATCTAGGATTGTGTTGGCTGATCGTTGCACTTGATGTCGATTTCCATTGTTTTCAATAGAATTTGCTACCTATTGATATTCAATGAGATGCCAGGAGTTTTGCATTTCCAGCCAGCGTTCATGTACCTGTGCCTCTAACAGAACCCACTTATGTTTTCTCTCACCAACTTAGAAACTCGGAGGATCCCTGGAGCAACACATCTCTGAAGCATTTGCCAAAATTCAGCAATATCTTGAAGACAAAAAAGCAGTCTTAATTAGAGAACTCCAAAAGCAACAGGAAGAAGATTTTAAATTAATGGACATAAATTTGGCAACAATTAACAAGGAATTAAAAACGCTTGAGGAGGATGTATCGAAACTTCAAGCTGTCATTCACCAGGAAGACAGTATCACTTTTCTCAAGGTACCACTTTACAAGCCAGAACCATTCGTGTTCCTGCAGGCACTGTCAGTGATCAGTGGGTTCAGGTGATTATGTCAGCATTAAAGGGCAAGAGCTTCTGTTTCAGGTTTGAAGGACAACTTACTTTCACAAGGTTCCTATACAAATCTGCAGACAATGTAGAAGTGAATTCCACTGCAGCCAACTGAATAACCAGTTTATTAAGCACTGATACTGGGGACAGTAATATAAATGCCAACAATCGTGTTTGAGTCTAAGTGAGCTCCAGTACACTCGTGGGCTGGAAGTTGACATGGTAATTATCCACACCTTTAGTCACCTTGTTATGACCAAGAATATAATACTGATAGGGTTCTTGTGACATAGTGATAATAGAGTCATAGAGTCATACAGCACGGAAACAAACCCTTCGATCCAACTCGTCCATGCTGACCAAGTTTCCCAAACTAAACTAGTCCTACTTGCTGTGTTGTTCAATAACTCTGTAAACCTTTCCTATTCATTCATGTAGCTGTCCAAAATGTCTTTTAAATGTGGTAACTGCATCTGCAAGAACCACTTCCTCTGGCAGCTGAACCACCCTCTGCGTGAAAAAGTTGCCCTTCAGGTCCCTCTTAAATCTTGACTCCATCTCTCAGCCAGGCGGCTTGGGTTCATGTCCCACCTGCTCCAGAGGTGTGTAATAATATTTCTGAAGAGGTTGATAAGGAAACTATTTATATTCTAGCCACTCCCAGTTTACAGTGCACACGACCTTGGCTATGACTTTGGATCCTTTATCCGACTCCATACGATGATAGAGTTGCATGAATTATTTCACGCTAGAATTTACTAATTGTAGAGTCATAGAGTCATACAGCACCGAAACAGATCCAACTGGTCTGTGCCAATCAGATACAGTCCCATTTGCCAGCATTTGGTCCATATACTTCTAAACCCTTCCTATTCATACAGCTGTCCAGATGCCTCTTAAATGTTATAATTGTTCCTGCTTGCACCACTTCCTCTATTATTAGGTATTGAATGGCATAATTTGTTCCATTAAAAACATGCAAACATGCATACATACAAAATAAGAATGGAAGTAGACTGCTTAGCACTTCAAACCTGCTCTGCCATTTAATAAGATCATGTCTGATATGTTTGTGTTTCCTATTTTTTAAAAAAATATGTATTGATTCTGCCTCCTCTGCATTCTGAGGCAGAGAGTTCCAAAGTTGCACAACTGTCTAAGAGGTAAAAGATTCTCTTCATCTCTGCCCTGAAAGGTCAACCCCTAATTTTAAAACAGTGCTCTAGAGTTCAAGACTTACCATCATAGAATACCTACAGTGTGGAAACAGGCCATTTGGCCCAACAAGCCCACACCCACACTCCGAAGAGCGTCCCATCCAGACTCGCCCCCCCTAACCCTATTCCTGTAACCCTGTATTTCCCATGGCTGATCCACCCAACCTACACATTCCTGGACACGATGGGCAATTTAGCAAGGTCAATCCACCTAACCTGCACATCTTTGGACTGTGGGAGGAAACCAGAGTACCTGGAGGAAACCCACGCAGACATAGGGAGAATGTGCAAACTCCACACAGACAGTTGCCCGAGAGTGGAATCGAACCCGGGTCCCTGGCGCTGTAAGCCACTGTGCCATCTCAAGAGGAAACAATACTTTCCACTTACAAAATAAAAACCAAAACAAATGCAGACGCTGTAAATCAAGAACAAAAACAAAGCTGCTGGAAAAGCTCAGCAGGTCTGGCAGCATCTGTGAAGGAAAAAACAGAGTTAACGTTTCGGGTCCGGTGACTCTTCCTCAGAACTTGAAGAAAGGTCACTGGAGCTGAAACGTTAACTCTGTTTTCTCCTTTACAGATGCTGCCAGATCTGCTGAGCTTTTCCAGCAGCTTTGTTTTTGTACTTTCCACTTACACCTTGTTGAAACCATTCAGGATCAGATACACTTTAATCACATCACTCCTCCAAACTCCAGTGGAAGCAAATCCGGCCTTTCCAGCCTGTCCTCATAAGCCATACCATTCATTCCAAGTATTAAGCTAGTCAACCTCCTGTGAGCCACTTCCAACACATATAGATCCTTCCTTAACTAAGGGGACTAAAACTGCACACTATTCTGATATCATCTCACCAGCATCTGTACAATTGAAACACAACACTCTTACCTTTATGCCCAATCCATCTCATAATAGAGGATAACATCCTGTTAGCCTTCTTGATTACATACCATACCTATATTCTAACTTTTTGTGATTCATGCAGTACAGCACCTAAATCCCCTGCATCTTGAAATTCCACAGTCATTTTCTGCTTATGAAGTACTCCGCATTTTCATTCTTCTTGCCAAAGTGAGCAACTTCACACTTTCCAGGTTTTGCACACTCTTGGCCTATTTCAATCTGACCACAACCTCCAATATCTTCTGCACAAGACCTTTCCTATGTATCCTGGCATCATTTGTGAGTTTAGTTACCATGCTTTCACTTCATTTATCTAAGCCATTGATCAAAATTATAAACGGTTGAGGCCCTGAATAGATTCCTGAAGGTCTCCACTCATCACATTCTGCCAATCGGACAAAGACTTATTTATGCATACCTTCACAATATTTATGTTCATCCTGTAATGTGATATCCGTAACTGAACATAATACTTGAAATGGAACCTAACTAGAGCTTTTTATAAATGTAATGTAATTTCCTTTGTATTGAACCTCTTTGACAGAAAGACCAACATTCCATTTGGCTTTTAAATTGTTTTCTACCCCTCTACTAACTTTTAGGTCAGTTCTATATATTGATTCATAAATCTTTCCAGTTATCCAGTTCCTAACTTCTCACAATTTCAAAAATACTTTCTCTTAAGATTAAAATGATGACTTCGTGTTTCCGAAAGGGTTCTGAGGAAGGGTCACCGGACCTGAAACATTAACTCTGTTTTCTCCTCCGCAGATGCTGCCAGACCTGCTGAGCTTTTCCAGCAATTTTGTTTTTGTTTCCGAAAGCACTGTTTTGTCTACTCACTTGCCTATCAATGTTCCTGTATAATTTCTTATTCCCATCGACAGTATTTCGCACATCATGTAACTTAGTGCCTTCAGCAAGCTTGGATAGCTATTCCTTCACTTAAGTTGCTCATTAAAGCAATAAAAAGCTAAGGCCCCAGTTTATACCCATACAGAAAACCACTAATTACACCCTGACAGTTTAAATTTAGCTACATTATCTGTGCTGTCTAATTCCTAGTTAATCCACTTTTCATGTCAGTAGGTTCTTTCAAATTCCAGTGCAATCATATTTTTGCTAGTAGTCTGTGGTGCAGAAATCTTACTGAATGACCACTTAAATAGCGTCCAGAGAGTCTTTGTAAGTATGCCTATGAAAGTACATTTAGGTAACCAAGACATCAATTAATCATGTAAATCCATACTGTCTGTCTCTGAACAGTTCATAAATAAGTTACAGATAAATATCATTTATTGTTGGGCAGAGGGGCCAGTACCTGAATGAATAGCAATATGGTTTATTGCTACAAAGGAGACTAGTTTCAAATTGCCAAAACCATTGATCCAAATTTCATCATTGATCCAAATTTCCTCCACAATGATTGAAGTACATTGTAAAGTGGAACTTGTGCCATAGATAAAAACAGCCCAATTCACATTATTATTATTTACTTTTTATACAGGAAATGAAAAGATTGCCAGAGAGGTGCGTATGATTTAGCTCCATACATTTATACATATTGAGCATATGACATTATTTTCAGAAATTAAACCAATTTGTAATTCCAATTCAGATGCCTTGGGAGTGAAGAAAGTGAAAGTCAACAAGAGGGAGATGATGATGTTGGTGAAGATGATGACAAAAGTGAAGATGACAGTGACGATGAGAATGATGATGACGATGAAAATGATGACGACGACGAAAATGATGACGACAATGATGATGCTGACAATGATGATGATGAAAATGAGGGAAGTGATGAAAGAAGTGAATGTAAATCAGAAGAAAATGGTGAAGATGTGGTGGAATTCAGTAACCTGATACTGGGAATGTTCAGGGGACCTTTACAGTATGCAATATGGAAGGAAATGAAAAAAATCCTCTCTCCAGGTAAGACATGACCTATTGTTTACCACATGGCACCCATTTGGCCTAATATAAAATGGCTATCATATGTTTGAATTAGGATGAAGGATTTGCTGCTTGTGTTGTCTGTGATTTTAAGATTTAGATACTGGCTCCATTGACTTGAATATAATTGGTTATTAGGCAGGGTGTGTCACGGTTGGTACATTTAATCTCTACCCTAGGCTGTTCCAAATTCTAATTTCCAGTATCATTTATCTTTAGGAGCTCAAAGTTCAAACCTTCTTCATGTAGGAAATTGGTGTCAGGTCATTTTTGCAGTACTGTAAAATAAATGAAAATTAATTTGTCTTGATTGCAAAACAAACCTGTCTCTGGTGCTGGCATGAACTGGCCATTTCACATCAGCACACAATTCAGTATTCAGACCTATTGAAGTGAATTGGTATCTGTAACAGGTCCAATTCTACCCATTTTACATCCAAATTGAATTTCTACATGGAATGAAAATTTCAGGGATATTTATTTATGGTCAGACAGATGGAGTGTGGAATCTTATCGCTGCTGTGGAGAAGGAAGGGGTGAGGGGGATGGGCTTCTGAGTGACGTGGGCTATGATGAGATTTGTGGTGGAATCAAGTGAAAATTCTGATAAGGCCCCTCCAGCTGTTGGAATTATCTCACTGCATCTTTTATGCTTTTCACAAGCGGCGAGGTGAGTTTCTCACTGGGAAATAGCAAGCATCAAATTGAGAGTGATTAATTGCTTATTGGTCATCTTGTTAATGGTCCAATGTGCCTATCTTACCAATCCTGCCAAACTAGCTAGACATTGAGAGATTTTGACATGAGAACTAGAGCAGATACCTGGTGAATGCAGATAGTTCTGAAAGACCCTCACGTTGGATGCTAGGTGCCAAATCTCTGAGCATGCTCTGTGGACATGGGCCACGTGTACCTCAGATCCACAGACATTGGCATCTGATATGTTGCAGCAAGGACACTGTGTGCTCAGGGACACAGACCTAGCTCATGGATCAGGCTGTATCTCTGGGCTGTTCACTCAGTGTCACAGCAGACACTCACTCTGAGCTTCTCTGGACACCCACAGCATCCTTGCCTTGCATTACCTAGCCCTTATCTGCTTTGCCCCCTCTCCCTTAGGTCTTGCCCTTCCTGTTTAGTGCAGACACAAAGAAAGAAGGCTTACAATGACTGTCAGGAGGCCTCAGTCAAATCAAGGGACTAGCCTTTGCTTCAGGGGTCCTGCTCACACTAAGTCAAGGGTAGCCTCTGATACCTGTCTCGGGGCTTGGAAATGGTCAGCATCAATGAAGAGTCAGCCATATTGTGGGATGTTTTCTTCCTGGAATGAGAGAGAGGCAGGTATTAAGCGAGATGAAAGTAGGTAACATGGCTGTCACTTTTGATGCAGGTAGGGAGGTGGCCTGAGTGAGCGAGAAGCCAGTACAGGGTTCATGACATCAGTTGGACTGAGTGACAGCACATAAGAGATGTTGGTGGGAAGTGTGTTTAGGAGCAGAGATGGAGTGAGTGTGAGGTGTCGGGGAGAAAATGGTAGCATTTACACTGGCACAATGGATAAGGTCATTGACCTTTCCTCTATATGACTCTGCAATCCTCCACATTGGCTGAGATTGCTTTAAATTGAGTGGCCAGGCTAGTTCTAGTCTGATGTCCTGTGTCAGTACCACCCCCTCCAGTAGGACCTTCAGGTCCCTGTACACAAAGTGGAGCACCAGGTTCCCCATGTCTGTCATTTCGGGAGCAAACGTACAGGGCAGTGCTTGTCCTGGTACAGAATGGGCTTTTAATGGTGGCAATGGGTACAAGGGATGCTGTTGAATTCTGGGAAATGTGCTGAGTGGTGACTTGTTTTGGGAACAATGCAGGGTAAGATGAGGCTGGAGTTGAATGTGAGGGACACTGTAGGTGCAGGGTAGGTAGCTATTGAGGGGAGTTTGGTAAGATATGCCAAGAAAACCTGTTAGGCCTCGCCGCGGAATTTCGTCCAAAAAACCCAACGTAACTTAGACTTAGCAAAAATGTCTGTGATTCAGCCCCAAGTTTATATTACATGAGAATGACCAACTGTCAGACTAAAAATGAATAACCATTGTATTATAAGTTAGCATGTGTGAAACCTCCTTTTTGAGTCTAAAAGTTCTGGCCCAGATATCAATGCTACATGACAACTTGGATACAGTTCCACTGAATATGCTATTCGTTTATGACACTAACAAATAACACATAATCACATGATCCCGGTTACTTAGAATTCCCACAACCCAGGGTCAGTCTCAAGTGGTCAATCCATCAAAAGATCTCCTGTTGTGTTTTCTGACCAATTGACCTAACTGCACTTTGCTGCTGCAGCCACGAAGCATTTACAGTTTTCTTTTTCATACATTTTTCTATCACTCTGCCGTATAGGGTAGTATCTATCTTTTTGGCAAATGTAAATACTTTTCAATTACATCGCTGTCCTGTTTGAAGTCATGACAGATGTATTCTCTCTGGACTCTCTTCAAGTTTATCCTTGGCTGTCTGCAGTCTTTATTTCCGACTCCGTTACCTTTATTTTCACAGAAACAACAGGGCCCAGTTCTTGAACATAGTGTTTTTTTACTTAGCAAAAATCTGATTCTTAGTTCTTCAGTGAGAATGCCAGTTTCTTCTTTGATGCCTGTCCATGAGATAAGCTGAACACCACAGAACTTCACTCCAATCTTTATGTTCATCAATAGGAAAGAAATTAAGGCACAGTTGTGTGATTCAAAGTGATTAATATGTGAGAAAATAATAATGCATTGTCTTGCAGAGCTTTAGTGTGTGTGTGTCTGTATTGACTTACACGTGTATAGCTTTTAACTTGTGTAACTTTATTTCTTCCAAGCTCCAGCTTCACTGTTTTTTAACCCAAGCACAGCACATTCTCAGCTGATCGTGTCTGAAGACCAGAAGAGCATAGAGCCCAACGACGTGTATGGTTTGGAACGTCTTGATGTCCTGGGATCAGAAGGGTTTACATTTGGCAAACACTACTGGGAGGTGGCAGTGGGAGACATCTCTGACTGGTTTATTGGTGTGGTCACTGAGTCAGCCACTGAAGAGGAAATGATGGATCCTCTCCCTGAACATGGCTATTGGACTCTGCTATTGAAAAATGGAGATGACTATGAGGCTGGTGGTACTCTTGAACTGTGTGTGAAACCCAGGACCATTGGCGTTTACCTGGATTATGAGGGAGGACAGGTGTCATTTTACAATGCTGATGATATGTCTCATCTCTTGACTTACACTGACACATTCACTGAAACACTCTTTCCGTATTTTGCTCTTCATTGTAACAATGATGTTGAAAACAATGAGCCTCTTAGCATGCACCATTTACTAATATGAGACATTAAGCTATAGAGGTTGATGAGCATGGAAGAGAAATAGACACCTAGATTTTCCACTGAATCAGACACTTGTTATTCCAATGAAGTTGGAAGTTGCACATGGGGGCACTGCGCAGTCCCCATTGTAGCACACTTTGAAGGAATTGCCTGGAAAATTGAATTTTCTCTTTGGCGATTCCTCTATTACAGGAACCCTCCAAAAGTCTCAATTTGGGTCTCCGTTGAACTGATGAAATTAAATAATGTAGGGACTAAGGAAAAGTTAGACGATTAAATAAGTTGTCTAACCCTGAGTAACTATTAATCAGAACCCAAATTTAACTAAGATATCACAACTACACCACCCCCAGACCTCTTACCACCCCCAGACTCAACATTCTCTACCCCCTCCCCACTAAAACCTAGCTCCCACTAGACCTGACCTCTTCCTCCACCCCCTTGCCAGATCCTCCCCTCCAACACCTGCAGACCTTTCTCGTTTCACAATCTCCTGGACTTGAACTCCACAAATTTATGCTATCTACTCTGCCCAGCCCCTTCCAGACCCGATTTCCCCACTGATACTGAGCTACCCTAAAGATGGCATCCATTATTTTGCACGCTGGCAACCCAACCCCCTACTGATCTGATATCCCATTTCTTCCACCTTCCTTTGTGTAAAACTTACCTGACACCCTACTAACATGGCACTGCAGTCCCTAGTCATCTGGCATTCTACCCTTGACATGATACACCATCCCCAGCTGGCACCTGACACCCTTTCCATCATACTCATCTGACTCCCTATCCTTCCTACACCCTAACATCACGCTTACAGCACCTGACTGCTATGCCTTCTTCTTGACTACTGTGCCCTATGATCGAACTGTCAGAAAGGAAGCAGAGCTCTGCATTTCTGAGGAAGGCCTCAGCAGAATTGCCTTTCAGAAATCTGGAGCTCCCTTCTTTCATTAAAAAATATAGAAGGGTTGGAGTGGCAATCTGCGTGAGATTGCCATCCCTTGGAAAATCTAAATCTTAATTCTCTTGCTGCAACTTCTATAATCTTACAATACAGCAGGGAATTAGAACTACCAGCATGTGCCTAGTGTGTTCTGTTCAGCGAGAATGACACAGATTGATAACACATGGAAAAACACCATTGGTTTAAATCTGTATAGATCATTTTCAGTACATGGTTTGTGAAACAGTCCTGATGTCTGCTAGCATTTTACTCCTACTTATTTCTGAGTATTCTTGTGACAGTATTTTTCAAGCTTTCGCTGTTAGATGAAGACATTAAATCAATTTTTATACAGTGACAATACAATTTCTGATTAATATTGATTTTACTTTTAAAAACTGAGTAGTTTAGTTAGTAGATTTGTGTGTATTTTGAGGAGTTTTAAACATTTGTTTGTAAGTTAGTTGAGCAGCAGGAAACACCTTTAAACAACTTCCTGCTTCAGAAGAGGAGGATGTGGTTTGGAATTGTACAAATGAGAATTTTCTCTCAGTAAAGTAGGGACAAGCAATAAAATATTGATAGGATAGTGGAGAAAGGAATCAAACTGGTCTACGGAAAAGTAACTCTTTGAAACATTATTGTTGAGGGATAATGGACATGAAATCCATTTAAAAACCACTTAAAATATAACTGTGGTGAACAATGAAAAGTCTTGTAGAAAATGTGGAAGAAACATGAAGAAAATGTAAAAAAACTCAATTACCTCTTAAAGTACGTTCAACATGGGGACTGGAACTAGTTGGAACTTGTAAGGGTTCATTGTAAGTAATTGTATAGAATATACAATTGTACTACTGCATATGACTTAATCGTATGTTTAATTACAATATTCTCAATAAATACTTGATGACATTAATATGTTATGAACCTGGCTGAGGGAATATAATTTATAAGTAGCGTGCACTCTTCTCCACCTTATATCATTACGATAATTGAAGTTTAAAGATTAGAGCTGATTTTTTTTTGATATTATGTCTAAGTGTCAATTTAGTCAAATTTTATTCAGGTGAAATCTCTATGATGCCTAGCGAGCTTTCTCACTCTTCTCTTAGCAAATTTGCCTTCATCAATTACCTCCCCCACCACTATGGTGCCTCTTCATAGAATAGACTCTCTACAGTGTGGAAACAGGCCATTTGGTCCATCGAGTCCACACCGACCCCTCCCCCCCCGCCCCCCCGAAAAGCATCCCAACCAAATGAACCCTATCTCCATAATCCCACATTTTCCATGGCTAATCCACATTACGTACAAATCCCGGGCACTATGGGCAACTTAGCATGGCCAGTCCATCTATCCTGCACATCTTTGGACTGTGGGAGGAAACCGGAGCATCATTTCAGATGCTAGCCCAATTCTGCCAATGGGCATAGACCAAAGAACTTGACATTGCCAGGATATCCCAAATGGACCGGCATCGCTGGTGCCATTTTAAAAAAAGCCATTGTGCATCTTCTCAGTTTGGAGCCACCCTGCGTAGTTCCTGACATTTGCGCTAGATAAGGGAAATTTGGTATCCTTCTTTCCAGACAGGCACCTGAACTTCCTGGTGGATAGGGTAGCATAGAAGAAGATCATCATCTTCTCCCCAAGGAATGGCAAAGGATGTCACCCTGGTTATAGCAGCCTCAGGTCTAAGGGAACACCTAGCAAAGTAGAAAGCAAATCTGTGACTTTTTCTGCCCCTCTATGGTAAATACCACCATCTTTCTGCTATTTTTATACTCACCCTAACTCTGCCACTGCACCAATCTCCCTCCAAAGCTCATACTCGACCACTCTCACTATTGCATGGAACATCTTCCATTATTTGCTCTCGATAACCTCAACACCTCCACACCACTAACCTTTCGTGACCTCTGCACTGCCTACCCACTCACCCGGGACAACTCATTGCTTTCTTCCCTCACATCCACCAGCACTATCAGTTGTGCTGCCTGCTTTCATTTCCCGCTTGTCCTGCAAGCAAACGGCCCACGTTGGAGCACGAGGAGTCAAGAACAGATGGAGGGCTGACAATATTTAGCTCCTTGCCCCTTACAAGGAGAGTATCCTGACTGTGACTGCCCTGAGCAGTCGGCTGACTGAATCTGAGCACCTGGACAGGGATTGAAGGCTGCCCTTGAGGTGCTGCTGGAGTAGCATGGTGGCTCAGTGGTTAGCACTGCTGCCTCATAGCACCTGGAACCTGGGTTCGATTCCACCCTCAGGTGACTTGTGTGTGTGAAGTTTGCATATTCTCCCCATATTTCAAGGGTTTCCACTGGGTGCTCTAATTTCCTCCCACAGTCTGAAGATGTGCAGGTTAGGCAGATTGACCATGCTAAATTGCCTGTAGTCTCCAGGGATGTACAGGCTAGGTTTATTAGCCATGGGAAATGCAGGGTTGCGGGGATAGTGTAGGTGGGTGTGACTGGCTATGGATTCGATGGGCTGAATGGCCTGCTTCCCATGATTCTACGATACTGTACTAGGAACCCCTGACTGCAGGAATAGACAGAGCATGGGAGACAGAAAAGATGTTGATGTAAAGAAAAGACAATAACTGTAATTGAAAGTGATGGATTAAAACAATAAAGAATGACAAGAATAAACAGTGAATAGAGACAAAGAGACAAAGACAAATAGAGGGAGAACAGTCAGAGCCTGTGAAGTATGGGGGCAAGTCACAGAGTAGTCCTTTGTCTGCAACAAAAATAATACTAATGAGCTTGGTCCAATATCCCTCATCTTTTTGAAATTTTGTGCAGTTGTCCAGCTTGTTTTTACCTTCTGTTTGTATCTAGCAGATTAGCTTCTGATGGTTAATGCATAACTAAAACAGGGACAATGGGCCATTATCTTTCTGGCTTATCATTGGCTTTCTATCCTGTTGTGATTCTCCATGTACTGCCTGTCTGCACTCATCGCTCAGGTTTAAATAGGCAGAATTATTCTTTACCACAATTTCGGAGGGTGGGAGGATGGGAGCAGAAAGAGAAATTCAGTTTTTTACTCAACAGATTGAATTCAGTCGTTTATGGTTTTACTTTATTAAACACATTGCAATACAACCGGTTCAATCCAGAGAAATTATTTACGATAACACTTGCCAGGTTTGGGGTTGTGGAAAGGTCACATTACAGCCGACACAAAATTAGAAACTGTGGGTTGATGGTTTCACAAACCATGCTGATGCTTACATCAGCTGCAAGCGATCCCACAAGCAAAGGATCAGATCTAAGTTCTGTAGTCCTGCCATGTTCAGTTATGAATAGTGGTGGACAATTAAAGAACTCACTTGAAGAGGAGGATCCAGAAATATTCCCATTCTCAATGAAGGAGGAGCCCAGCACATCAGTGTGAAAGATAAGGTTGAAGCATTTGCAACAATCATCAACTAGAAGTGCCGAGCATATGATCCAACTCAGACACCCCAGCCTCACAGTTACCAGTGCAGCCAATTTGATTCACTCCATGTGATATCAAAAAAATGGTTGGAGACATTGAATACTATAAAGGCTACAAACCCTGATAATATAAACACAAGATAGAGAATTGATTGGATAAAACTCATTAAAATTATGTGGGCTGTTTAGATTTACATAATAAATCTATTAATTTTTCACTTTTGGAAGTGAGGTTGTTGACTTGCTCGCTGAGCTGGCTTGTTCTCGTTCAGACATTTTGTCACCATGCTAGGTGACATCATCAGTGGAGTCTCCAATGAAGCAATGTTATTCTACTTTGCTTGGAATCTATACTGTCTGATCCGTTACGGTGAGTTGTGTCATTTCCGATTTTGATCTGTATCAGTTTGTATATGGGGTCCAATTCTATATGTTTGTTGATTGCATTATGGGTGGAGAACCGTGCATCTCGGAATTCCTGTGCGTGTCTATGTTTGGCTTGGGCTGCCTCGTCCCAGTTAAACTGATGGCCTTCAGTTTCTGAGTGTACCGATATTAAGGAGAGTTCATTGTGCTGTTTTGCTGCTAGTTGATGTTCATGTATTCTGATGGCTAGTTTTCTTCCTATCTGCCCGATGTAATCGTTGCAGGGTATTTTGTAAACCATGTTGGTTCTGCATGTTGTGGGAATGGGGTCTTTAATCCTTGTAAGTGTTTGTCGTAGAGTGGCTGTGGGCTTGTGGGCCACCATGATTTCCAGTGGTCTTAGGAGTAGTGTTGTCATATGTTCTTGATGTAGGGCAGTGTGGCCAGTGTGTTAGGGCATGCTGTGTCCTCCTGTTGTTGTCTATTTAGTAGGCATCTGCAGATGAAGTTATGGGGATATCTGTTTATAGCAAGGATTTTGTACAGGTGCTCTTCCTCTTTCCTGCCTAGTTCCAGAGTATTGCAGTGTGCCCTGGCCCGGTTAAATAGTGTCCAAATGCAGCTTTGTGGACATTGGGGTGGTTGCTGTGGAAGTTGAGGATTTGATCAGTATGGGTTGTTTTTCTGTATCCTGAGGTTTGGATCTCCCCGTTGGTCATACGCTCAACTTTAACATCCAGAAATGGAAGTTGATTGTTGTTCTCTTCTTCCCTTGTGAATTTAATCCCTGCAAATACACTGTTGATGAGGTGGTGGGTCTCTTCTAATTTGTTGCATTTAATAATGACAAATGTGTTGTCTACGTACCGGATCCACAATGTAGGTTGAACGCAGGGGAGCGTGGTGTGTTCTAGTCTTTGAATGACTGCTTCTGCAATGAGTCCTGAGATGGGTGACCCCACAAGAGTACACCAATGGGGTCATCCATCCCAGGACTCATTGCAGAAGCAGTCATGCAAAGACTAGAACACACCACCTTCCTCTGCGTTCAACCTAAACTGTGGATCTGCTAAGTAGATGACACATGTGTCATTATTAAACACAACAAATTAGAAAATCCTCGACTTCCACAGCAATCATCTCAATGTCCATAAACAAAGCTGCATTAGGACACTACTTAATTGGCCAGGACACACTACAATACTCCGGAACTACGCAGGAAAGAGGAAGAGCACCTGTACAAAATCCTTGCTATAAACAGATATCCCTGTAACTTCATCTGCAGATGCCTACTAAACAGACAACAACAGGAGGACACAGTACACCCTAACACACCAGCCACAGTGCCCTACATCAAGCACATATCGGAACTGACAACAAGACTCCTAAGACCAATAGGAATCATGGTGGCCCACAAGCCCACAGCCACTCTATGACAACACGTACAAGGGTTAAAGATATCCTTCCCACAAAATGCAGAACCAATGTGGTTTACAAAATACCATGCAACGACTGCCATAAACATTACATCAGACAGACAGGAAGGAAACTAGCCATCAGAATACGTAAACATCAACTAGCAGCAAAATGGCACAACAAATTCTCCTTATTATCGGTACACTCAGACAATGAAGGCGATCAGTTTAACTGGGACAAGGTAGCCTTGGTAGCCCAAGCCAAATATAGACACGCACGGCAATTCCTACGGGCATGGTTCTTCACCTGTGATGAAATCAATAAACATATAGAATTGGATCCCATATACAAACCCATACAGATCAAAACCGGAAATGACACAACTCACCATAACGGACCAGACAGTATGAATTCCAAGTGGAATAGAACAACATCACTTCATTGGAGGCTGCACTGATGATGTCATCTAGCATGGTGACGAAACATCTGAATGAGAACAAGCCAACTCAGTGAGCAGGTCAGCAACCTCACCCACAACTTGAGCTACAGGTCTTTGCCAAATCTTTAAACATTTGCAAGTCCCAAATGTGGGACCATAAATATAAAATGGTCACTAATAAGTCCACAAAGGAATTTAAGTGAAATATCTTTACTCAGAAAGGTCATGAGAATGTAGAATTGGTTTCCAAAAG